TTGGTTGATCAAGACACCTAGAATTTTAACATCGGAATACATATGAGCTAGTCTCTTCTTAGAGTCTGATTAATATAGGGACTAATAAACTCAAGTTCTTCCTCAACATATTCACACACAAACCCCACAAAGCAATCCAGCATCACTGAATAAGATTCAGTAAATGAGTACCTTCAGGACTCTATAAACCTTCACCGATGATGCTGCATCGATTACAGTTGAAAATTGAATCATAAGATCCAAGTAAGTTGATATCCTTAGAGAGAACCTCTGAGTAAACACTGCTCCTGAGGTCCAGATCCTACTGAAGAGATCCCGAAATAGGGTGGCATGAACATGTTTCCATTTGATGAATTGAAAATCATTGGCAGGGACTCGTACGGTAATTTTGAGTCATACTCCTGTTTAACCATGGTAGAGAAATTTGGATTCTTAGGCAGATCATTCACAGCCTTCACTGAGCGATCAGGAGAAGAAGGTCTGTGACTGCAGTCTGATGTGCAGGAGATGATGACTTGGTTTCAAGGTTGACAATTGTGATGTCATGGATGCTTGATCTCCTCTTGTCCTTGCCTCCAGTAAGCTGCCGGATGAAATACTTCTGAGCATGACTAGCAACCTGAGTGGGAGTCCTTGTGGTCACAAAATTACGAGATATGTTTCTCCAGTCCCCTTTACCATACTTCTTCAGGCCCAACAGAAATTGCCTGCAAAGTTTAAATGAGTCAGCATGAAATTTACACTAAAGTTGGCAAAGAACACAAACTGGACGATAGGTAATTATGTATAGTACTCTTGTGACAATTACGCAGTTATCTGAATAGTTTTATAATCGAAACTCTTGTTATGGTTATTACAATTTAAAAGTATTCCCGAACTTTCTCTGAGTGATCTAAAAGGTGTAACAACCTCCTACATTTGGCGGGTGCGTTTAGAAATTTACTATGATTGTGCTCCCACAAATGAATCCATGTAGGGTACTATCTCTTTTTAGTTTCTACTGGTTGACTTGACCGGTTTGAGTCAAGCTGCTAAAGTTCAAGACTCAAAGTTCAAGTTTCAATATCAGGGATGTGATGAACAATGATTTAACTAAGGATCAGCTTTGAAGCACCAACATCTTAAGAATTGAACTAAGGAGGTTGATGATGTGAATTTATTACCTGTGCTCCTCTTCAGTCCATGGCACTCCTTTTTTCCTTTCCTGCTCAGATGGTCGAGTGGAAGAACCCCTTTTCTCACCAACAGTATAGAATGGCTTGAAATCCTCAAAGCCTTGGTTATTGGCCCATTCCAAAGTGAAAGAACTGCTATCATCATACTCAGTGACTGGGATCAACCCTGCCTCTATGACACTAACATCTTCTTCAAGTTGTTTGTACTGCCTAATCACATCTCCCACTGTCTTGCCTGGAACCTTAGCTGCAACTTTCAACCAACGATCTGGAGTATCTTTGTCGTACAAGGCCAAAGCGTCCTCAAACCGCTTATTCTCTTCTGGGGTCCATTTCGTTCCTTTGCTCTCTTGAAACAACCAATTCGAGTTTTCAAGGTAAGAGGCTGGAGAAAAAACTTCAATTCCCCTATTCATTGTTGTGGCTAGACTAATAGTCGCACATGGCAAGCGTACAAGAAGTCAATACAGGAAGTCCCTCCCTCTTTGAAGTTTTCTTCAAAGAGAGAGACGACACAGAGAGGAAATGCAAAGAAGTGGAGCTTGCAATGGCCAAAGAAGCATTATATCAAATAACATGAATACAGAATCTTCGGCCCTTTTCACGTACACCGACAACCTGAAGAATCTTGGAAAGGGTTTTTCTTTCCGAAACCCAAGGAAAATTCCGGATTGGACAGTTTAGGGGGGGGAGCATAACCCTAATAAACCTGCTCAGATCTAAAATACAAAGAAATCAACACACAAAGCATCAAGGAGAGACAAAACCCAGGTTAAATTTTGACAACAGACGCAGAATGAGCAGGGAATTAATTGCAAGTGACACCCAGTTGATAAAAGGCCGTGAAATGAAAGAAAGAAAAAGCAGAGTGCGAGGAGGAGAGAAAATCTCTCAAAAGAAAGGAATAAACTTTGAAAGAGGAACTGAAAAATGAAATATGAGTACGGAGGAGAAGGGGCAGAGGAGGTAGTACAGATATAGTTATAGGGTGAGAGGGTGCACAGGAAGGGGGTGTCAGGTGTTTGTAGAGCTAGAGAGAGAGGGGCCGATCTGTGTATGGAACAGGGAAGAGAGGAGAGAGGGGAGAGAGAGGGAGGTCAAAGGAGCAGAGTTGTGATTGGCGGACAGAGAGTGCTTGTGGGCGCTGAGAATAAAGAGAGAAAGAGAGAGAGAGAGAGGAGGAGCGAGAGTGACATGTTTCGGGTGGGTATTGGGTAGAGACAGAGAAAGTGTAGACTTTTGGAGGGCCAAATTGGTAATGCAAGGCAACAATGACAGGACTCAGGAGGAGCCTTCTTTTTCAAAACAGGAGAAATATAATAATTTAATGTGTTGTTCATTGGGAAGACTAATAAGCTTTGTCCTTTGTGCTCATTACTATGGTTCCTGTTGGAATTCGTCCATTCCCCTGTTTCATTTCCAGATTCCAACTATTGCTATCACTTTGCATGGGGTCAAGTCTTTTTCATCATCATCTATCTTCGTGTCATATGTTTCGAAAAGTTACCTGCTCTGTTCCAATTCCAAACGAATGTATGGTGATTTTTAACCATCTCACCAAAATTTAGTTATTTTATTAAAATAATCTTTAAAATGTGTCAATAATTTTTTTTTTTGGTTAACAAAATGTGTCAATAATTTAATAATACTAGACACTTTCTTCAAGTCCTTTTGAAGTGCGAGGTTACAAATTTGACCCCAACTCCTATAAATTAACATGATTTGAGAATGCAAGTTTCTTATAAAGCGTGGCCTAGTCCTATATAAAGAGTAAGAGCAAGGGCCCCTTAATTATTCTTATATGTATGAAATTTAACAGGTATTCACTCATTTTTTGTAACACAAAGGGAGAGGTATTGGCCAGAGGAATAAGGGTGTGTTTGAATTGGTGATGGCAAAACTGACTTTTATTCTAACTGATTTTTATAACTGAAGTTAGAGTAAAAGTCAATTAGTGTAATGCAATTTATTTTTAGATATGTGCTTATAAAAAGTCAGTTGGAAAAGTTAAAAATTATTTAGATGATTAATAGAAAAGTGAGTTTAGTTGTAAAATGACTGAAAATGGCATAACTTTTATTGAATAGTAGTGCTTCATATTTTATATTTTTAATATGGTAATAGTTAAAAAAATTACCTTAAATTATTATGATAAAATAAAAATAGTTTATTTGTGAAATTATAAAATAAAAAATTTGTTACTGAGAAAAATTTGAAAACACATTGTAGATGATTAATTAAATATATATAATAGACAAACATGAATATAAATTAAAAGTCATTCATCTCTAATTAAAGTAAATGCAATCACATAAGTAATTAGATCGTAAGTTTTGCACAATTTGGTCTCTAATTAAGTCACGAACATGATTCATTTGTGCGGCAGATGTTAAACTTGACGAGGATGCCTCACCAGCTGTATAATTACTGTCTTCATCTATTACACTTCCATGTTCAGCTTGTACAAAGTGGTCATTAGTTGAAGAATTTTGCCTGATAAAATTATAGAAAGCCATTGTTGCACAAATTATGTAGACTTGTGTTTGAAAATTGAATTTGGGCATATCTCTTAAGATTGCAAATCTATTCTTTCAAAGCCCAAAAGTTCTTTTAATAGTGCATCTCAAACTTGAATGATAATAATTGAAAAGCTCATTCTCATTTCTAAATCCTAGGTGAGAATTGAAGTCTGGAAATTGATAGAGCTCACATTTGTGGGGGGCTAAGATATCCTGCTTGTGATGGATAACCAACATCAACCAAATAATATTTGTTTAGAAAATCATGACTCAATTATATTGAAGTGAAAATAAGGCAATTGAAGTTGAATTTAAAAATAATTGACTTGAAATTTAAAGATATATACCTTTAGGTGGATGAGGGAAATTCATGGATGGAGTCAAAATAGCAAAATGAAAGACACGAGCATCATGTGCATTACCTTCCTAGCCTGCCAACACGAACATGAAGCACATATCCCAATCACATACGACTATGACATTTTGACTGGGAAATTCCTTCCTCCCAATATATTTGTCTTTTCTGGCTTGACTAACCTTACAATTTACGTGAGTGCCTTCAATTACTCTAATGGAATCCTTAAAAAATGGGAAGTGTTGTGCATCATTTGCTATTTTTGGGTGACAATAAGAAAATACAGAATCAATTAGCTTGATATTTTCTCAAGATAAATTGAGGCAAGCGTCCAATACTTTATGAAAATACCGACTGACAGTTTCTCCTAAACACTAAAACATTTCTTGAATCATCCTATTACACTAGCCATGCGCAATTATATTCAAGAACATGACAACAGATTCATGGACACCTATATACTTAGAATTTTGTAACCCATGTTCAACCAATTTAGAGCATAACTGATGGGATGTCTCTATTTTCATTCGAAACATAGTCTTAGACCATCCTTCATGCCTATGCAAAAGTTCTTGTACCCATAAATAACCTGTTTGTCAACTAGTTCTACATGGCCGTTTGCACAGAAAAGGCATCACATACTGACCCATTAACACACTTAGCTTTGATGATTGTGTTGTGTGTTCATGTAAAGCGAGAAGTAATTGAGACTGTTCATCTCCCCCATCATCACCCTAACCCTCGCCCCAACCCTCTGTTGAATTAGACATAGATTATGTAACCTGTGAGTAGTTAAATACTAAATGCGAGTAATATTTTCACAAAAAAGAAAAGATAATACACAAATAGTCATTAAACTTTAACATAATAATTAAACATAATCATTAAACACATCGTCGTAACACATAGTAACCAAATATATTAAAGTAGAAAAACATAAGTCATAATAAGTCACTCGACACAACTGGGTGCAGCATATGGCGGTGGGTTTTCAGTATTGTACTTCAACCAAGCTATTAATATCCCCTGATTTACTCTCAGACCTGCATATATGTCCTTGAAAGTCTTGTTTGCTAGAAGATTACAGTCGATGACATAAAAATGAGTGTCACTAGTAATTTCCTCCATACTCAGTAGATCAGTGGTAAGCTCAGTAGTGATATCACTATTAGACATTTTGTTTACTGCCTCTGCTATATCCTTTGAAGCAGTAGCAATCAAACTTACTGCATCTGCTATTCTTTTTGTCGATGGCATTTTTTGCTTCTTGTACTCATCAAACCCTTGACCTCTCTTCCTCTTCCCTTGACTTCCTAAACTACTAGGTATAGTGGGTGCAGTGTTTGATGTGTTTGCAGTTAAATTGATGCAGTCCAAATCGTCCGAAACTCCTGCACGGCATCCAGTGTCAACACCTAAAAGCTTGTCTTCACTATCCCCTAAACCTTCTTCTCAATCTATTGTTAGTCGGTACTTATTTGGCTGATCAACCCTTTGTGGCTGAGGCTGGGTCTAAGATGGTACCCATATATCCTCTTCTGATATCATAATGTCCTTGAATATGGTTTCTAATTTAGTTCAAAACTTTAACCCATGGTGTCTAAACTTTTGATATGCTGGATTTTCCTGCAAAATCAAAAATAAACCAAAGTTAAATCACTTCCAAGAGTATGATACTACTTATAAATTAACACAAGCTAGTTCATACCTGTTTTTTCCTCTCCCACCATTCATCATATGCCACCATTATGTTCCTTTTAGGGTCCTACCCTATACCGATCTCCTTAGTAATTAGTGATTCAAATGCCTTCTACATTTTTCTCAAGTTATCTAAACTATTTTTCAACTGTTTTTTTTTTTCATATCCTCTCCCTATCTTTTTATTGAATGCTTTGTGAATGTTTTCTCAACCTTGCTTTGTAAACGAAGATCCTTGATGATATTTGCTATCAATTTGGTCAACACATACTTTGAGAAAAACACCTATAGTGTTCACATCCCGATATGTTTTGCCTTTATCATTCCTCATAGTTCTTGTTGAAATTACATATGTATCAAACCCACAATTAGTCTGGAATCAAGCAGTATAAGCCCGCAATATATGTTAATCAAGAAGTGGATATCATCAAAGTTCCTAAAAGTAATTTACTTTCAAATTACAATGATGCATTGATATGGTTGTTGCATATTCACATTGAATATTGAAATTGTTAAACATAGACTAGTTTAAGCACAAAAAATTGTTTGGTTTGTACAATTTCTTTTTTTTAAAAAAACACTATGCTTACACTTTTGGTCTTTTTATTTAATATAATATTATACAAAATTTAAAAACAAAATAAAGCCATTGATCGGTTTATAAATGTTAAATATAAGTGCTACTAGATATAAGCATGAAAATATGATTGGTACTAAGGGTGGAAATAGGCCACGCAGCTTGTGGCTTGGCCTGTAAATGGCTTGGCCTGACCTGGCCTATTTAGCTATCAGACCAGGCTCAGGCCTATTTACTTTATCAGGCCACGCTCAGGCTTGATAGTAAGCCTGTTAGGCCTGTCAGGCAGCTTGGGCCTGCTATCTTTTTTTTTTAATGTTAAAATCATAAATTGATAGAAGGAACTTTACTATTCTGATTGGTTAATTGAGAAAACTCCATCCACATAAACGTGTTATGTAGAGCCTATTGCATGCGTCATTTCATTTCCATTCTCTATAATAAAAATAATTGATATATGTATAATGACATATATTTGAACATAGAAAGAATAAGTGCATTAAAAAAAAAGCATCATTCATTTATTTGATCCATGCTTATAGAATATATATATATATATATATAATTGACCTATTATGTTTTAGACCGTATATATGTGTGCTTAATCTAATTCTTATTATAATAGTTACTTAATTAATTTAAATAAATTATAATAACTATAACATTTTTTTAAAACAACCATGTGTAACAATAGGATCAAATATCATTTTGTTAATAAATTAGTTTGAATAAATAATAAATTTAAAATATAAAAGGGATTAAGGATGTTTCATATTTTAAATTAGATCTAGTCATTAACTAATTTTTATACTAGAGATGAGATGAAGTGATATTTTTTTTATCAGAATGAAATTATGTTTTCTAATAATTTTTCATATTAGATTTTTTTTGGGCCTAAGGGGACATGTTTTACAAATTGTGTTAATTTGATAATTTCATATTTTTTGTTTGTATTTTAGATGAATTAGGTTGAATTATTATAATTTTGAATTGATTTATGTGTGTTAAAAATTTATTAAAAAAACAGGCCTTTTAACAGGCCACAGGCCAGGCTCAGGCCGATTAAAAGGCCTTTCACAGGCCACAGGCTAGGCTTAGGCCAACAGGCCTCACCACAGGCCAGGCCTGTTTCCACCCCTAATTGGTACTCCCTCATCCTATATATTTCATTAAGAAATAATCAACTCCAGTATTTCTTTTCAAAATACAAAATCTTAAAATTCATTAATGATATTTAAAAACTTTAATAGAATAAAATTATTAAAATTTACCAATCTTGTCCATTTTATACTTCAACATGTTTCAAACAGAAAACAAATAATTTTGAATGATTACAATTAACAAACTCATTGAACAAATAACTAGTATAAACCCACAAATTTTTGAACCCATAGAAATCTCACACTGTCGGCATTAGGATGCCTCATCACAAATTGAACAGAGGTCATTCGCAACATAAATCAATAGATTTCCAAAAGTAAGATGCCATCACTCAGGAAATGCAAATGGTAGTTCATTAACAAAGTCACAGATGGTCAGATCCACAAATCAATCACACAGCCAGAGTCATTAACAGAGTCATTGACAGCCAGAAGGGAAATCGATCAATCAAAGAATAGAGGTCTAGATATGGTTATCCAACTACGTACCTATATCCCAACACTACACAACAGACCACAATGGAGCAATGTTGAAGAATCATGAACACCAGTGGCCATGCAAACGGAAGAAGAGACAAGGAGGACAACACTGATTTGGATTGAATAAAGGGAGGCAATGCAGACTGAACAAACTCCTGCCACGCTGACGAAAGAAGAAAGGGAAGCCTTTTCAAGTGTTTCGGCCGCGAGAAGTCCTAATGCGCTAGCAACAGTGATGGAGGGAGAAGAGCGGCTAGAGGGAAGAAGAGAAAGGTAGATCTGTTTTTGACGTCTGTTGTGGTGACAGTGATGGAGGGAGAAGAGCTGGCTAGAGCGACAGATGGAGACACTGGTGAGAGTGACAGACGGAGAGTTGAAGTGCCGAGAGTGAGGGAGGTAGAACCACGGCTGAATGCTTTCACAGTTTGAGTAGCACAAGCACTCTTTGTTTGAAGAGGAGAAGAGCTCGGTCAAATATAGGGGGTAAAATTGATAGGTGAAAATTTCAATGCTTATTTGATGCAATCCTAACAGTAGATTGCATTTTCAAATAGTCCAGAAGTTACTTTGCCAGCATTTCCAACAAATGTCATTTCCTCCCATAAGTCAGTTAGTGTAGAAGCCCATCCAAACAACCAATTAAGTTACAATAAGCTACAAAACTCAGTTTCACACTTCCGCACATGCTTTTGCCATCTCCAACGGAAATCCAAATGTGGCCTAAGAAGGACCCCAATCAGGTCATTGGAATAAAGCATGCTTTTGCAATTCTCAATAAATATGCTCGTTAGTAACCTTCGAATCACGCATCATTATCATTCTTATATCATCAACTGCACCGAACACCGGGTGGTTTCTATCATGGATGTTCAAGTTAGGATGTCGTCAAAGAGCTTCCGTGAAATCCGTGAAGATCTTTATTCTCCTAAAACTTTGACCCTAACAAAGGTCAAAGCCTTATTTGATGTCCATGAGTTCGGTTATTGTGCTTACCACTCTATTTCTTATCATGGGTCACTTGTATCTCAAAAGTTTGTTTAAAATATAAGTCACTTGTAGTATAATTAATGATCTTTTTCCAATTTTACCCCTATTAATTTAATAAAAAATTAATTAATCTCTCTCTCCATCTCTCTCTATATTTTTCATTTCCTATGTAATCCATCCCCTCCCCCTCTCTCTCTCAACTTTTAATAAGGGTTAATATGAAAACAAAAACTGGTTAATTTAATGTATTTCTTGATTTGCGGATTTAGGATACAAGTGACTTATAATAAGGAACAGAGTGACACCTTTTAATTTGTCAAGTTTCATATCTCTACCAACAGTACATGCTTGTTCTCTCAATTGGGCTGTTGGGTTGGGTCTTCCGGATTTGGGGCCTAACCGCAAGTAGGCTAAGTATAAGCTTCATCGCATTGGTCCACCACTTTGTAAATGAAGCAACTGAGATTTTGAATCATCATGATTACTGACATTGTGTAACTCCTCTAACTCAATCTTGCTATGGCAATTCCTATTTTTACTTTCTATTTTACATTTTCATAACGAATGCTTAAGTGCCTCTCTGTTTTAAGTAGTTCTTGGTACAGTTGGCAAAGTATCTGCTCCTAATGAGAAGGGCTATCTTCCAAAATGACCATACTGTTGATGATGGCCAGCACATGGGCCTTATGATCAGAGAAGCTCTCTTCACTTCCCTTCTTAATCAGAGGCCACCTTCTCTCTCTTTATGTCACTTATTTAGGTCAGTTTTAGGTGATTCTTGTATTTTCATTTGATATTATTGAATTCTTAATTGTTTTCTTGGGTTGTGTTTTGTGTTTCCTTAAACTAGTAACTTGCCAGTATTTTGTGTGGAATAGCTTTCTCTGTTACGAAGATGGCTAAAGGAAGCTGTCTCTGAAGTTACACAAAGATACACACACACACACACACACAGAGAAGGTGTATATATTTCCTGTGTAAAGTAATTTTTCAGTTTCCATCGTGGCACTCAGTCATTAGTGGAACCTCCAATTTTTTGGAGAAAGTTGCTGTAACTATCGTTTATAAGCTGCATAAGCTGTAGTTTGTTTTCAGGGGATGTATTCTAAAGGCATTTCTAGTGTTGATTTTATTGTAACTTTATGGAACCTTCACCTAATTTAATACAATATTAAATTCTTAATGCAAGCATTATTAAAGTGAAAATGTCAAAGGGAACACAAGCAACATAAGGTATATCACGTTTGGATTTCATTATACAGTAAAAGCATACACTTGTTGACTCCAATTCTGAATCTCTAAAAATAAGGGGAAAAAATGTGTGTGTAAGAACAACAAATTGCTGGCTCGATTAATTTATTTAACTTGGGTTGAACAAGTTCTCTCATTTGTTAAAAAAAAAAAAAAAAGAAATCAAAAGGATCTTGTCTTCTCTTCTCTCTGTACCTCCAACTCATCTGTTGTCAGTTGGAGAGACTTATGTTTCTATGTATATTTAATTTATGGAAGTGGGTGTATCAGCATTTAGGAAGATCTTTAGGAGGTGGTATCAATGACTGTTTGGGACCTTTTCCATTATCCACCAAAAATGCCATCTTTAATCCCCAAGTCGTGTGCACCTCAAAATGACAGTGCATGAACCACACTCCTGCAAAGAACATAGAGTTAGAAAAACATAAAAACAAAATGTCAAGAAATTCAAGTTTGGACTTGAAATGTCAAAACTTTTTTAAGATGACATGACCAAATTTGCAATGCTTGAAGCAGAGTCAAATAAGCAGGAACCAAAACTTATACCTGGATTATCCGCTCTGAATCTAATAGCAGTCCAGCCTCCAGAGGGCAATCCAATAGTGTTCCTCTCAACAGGGTCAACAAGGTTGAAGTTCTTAGGATCATTTTTAGGGTCATAATTCCCTATTCCTCTTCCCACAACAAAGAAATTAAACCCGTGAAGATGAATGGGGTGGCTTTCTGGTGCAATAATCCCAGTGTCTTGTAGAACCAGTTGCACTGTGGAATTAAAAGGAAGCCTGTAAAGCCTTGTTCCACTTGTAGTCTGCAAACTTGCAGGACCAGCACCTGTGTAATTAAACACATGAGGTGGCTTAGCAGGGAAATCTGTGGTGAAAACCCCAGGGATGTTGAAATAGTGGGCTTGAAGTAAGGCAGTGGTTGGCATAACAAAAGTCACATTGTTCACAGAAGCAACAACTCTACTCCCATTTGCTGGTTTACAGGATGGGCATGGGTTAATTCCTAATCCAACAGTGAAGAACAGTGAATGGTCAATCTTCAGAGGGACTTTTGCTGGGTATTTTTTGGAATTCAAGCTTTTGAGGGAGTCAATGAATTTATTAGCAACTTGTGTTGCATTTTTAGGAGGGGGGTTTGTGAGAACTGTAGTAGCAGCAGAATTAATGCCTGTGTAATGAACAGTTGCAGTAGCAGTTACGTTGTCTACAGCTACTGGAGCATCCATGAAAGGAGAAGCTGCAACTAAGTATTTTCCAGATTTTTGGTCTGCGTTTAAGAGGACGTTAGTGGTTTGGCCTGGAGCTATAATGATTGTGTCAATCTTGAAGGGCTTTACATAAGAGGCATCAACTTCCACTACAGTGAGAGTATGGCCAGCAATCTTGAAGAAAAGCTCCTCATTAAGTGCAGCATTGACAAGTCTTAACAAGTAGGTCTTCCCCTTCTCCACTGGAAGATTGTACACTTCTACACAAAAGAACACAAACATTCATGTTTACTTAGTATAGGTGAAACCTACTGTACGTACATATACATATATATTGGAACAATTAATTAATAGGGAAGAGTACCTTGTGAGGAACAATTAGCCACAGCCCCTGGAAGGCCATTAATGGTATGAGCATCTGAGACATTTGGTGCCAATCCTGATTTCAAAGCTTCATTGATGACAACTTCAGTATCAGATTTCCACCATTCTCCTGCAAATATGGAGGGACAGAGTCAGAGATTGGTCTTGGAAAAACGTACGTAAAATAAAGGGAAATATATATATGAATATATATATTATATATGCACACATGTTTTGGCTCACCTAGTACTACAACAAGTTCATCATCTGGTTTTGGAAAAGGATAAGGAACATCACGTTTTGGCAATATAACTACGGCACCATGCACCGTTGACCTTAGCCAGTTAACATGTGCGTGATAAAAGAGTGTCCCTCTTTGCCCTGTGAGTGTGAAGTTGTAGAGATAGCTTTGCCCTGGCTGGATAGGACACTGTGTGATGTACGCCGGTCCATCAGACCAACCGGTTCGCAGTTGCCGGACGCCGTGCCTACAAGTCCAAAACAAGCTTGTTATTCTCTTTCTCTTGGATTCTAATTAAGTTTATGGGCTTCAAACAAATGTGTGCCTTACATACCAATGGATGGTAACATTAACATTGACATGATTGCTAACTCTGACCAATACATTGTCATCTTCTCTTGCGTAAATTGTAGGTCCTGGGAATTTCCCGTTGATGGTAACTATGGATTTGCTTGAACATAACCTTGTGTAGTTCTTCTTAACTACCTGCAACCACATATAGAGAGCAGTATGTAAGTTTGAATGCAGAAATATAGAGCAAGCAAAGTGCTTGTGGGTGGAACAAGTGACTAATAAACCATAATTAGGTGGTGATTTACGTTGGGCAAAATTACGTGGTGATTTAACGGGCTTTACATTCCAAGTAATTAACTGTTTTTAAAATGTGAGCTGTGTTTCTGGTTTGAATTCACATAAAACTTTCTTTTAAAAAAGAATTGAAATATAGAAGTAAAAAATTACCAAATAAATTGTTGGTATAAGGTTTTTGATGAATTTTTACATTATAGAGGTATTGTAAAATTTAGAGATCATTGAAACAGGAACGCACGCAGCATGAAATTATGTAAGAAGTACCAACTCCAATCTCAAATATAAGAGCTAATTGACTAGTTTGAGTAAATTAAAGAAATAAGTTAATAGGTGTTGTCTTTTTTAAAATATCCTTACTAATCAAATTTATTGGCTAGAATTACTATTATTAGAAGGATTATTTTAGGGGAAAAATGAATAAATATGAAAAAAGAGTGAATAGAGGTCTTATATTTAGGACTAAAATAAAAATTAAATAAGATCTTATATTAAAGACCGGAGGTTGTATATGCTTTTTCTTCAACTTTCTTATCTTCTCTTGACAAACTATCTACAAATTTTAAAATTTTACGGAAATCAACTTAGATTACTTGATGATTTGGTGAACTAATCAGTGATTATTACAACATGAATTTTATTATTAGCTCTCGCCGTACTTTTTAAACTAAAAATAGCTGTCACTTTAATCAAGAAAATGTTGATATATGTGATAAATAGCCACCGGGCTATATTATGTAATGTACTAAGTGTTCGGTACGTAACACAAAACACCATCTCACAATGTGATCAAATTCGACACAAAATTGATAAAACTAAATGAAAAACGAAATCTCCAACTAATATCCATAGTTGAAATCCATATCTCGACTCGATAGTGTTTTCATTTCGTCGAGAGTCCACACTCTAAATTATTCTACAAGCTAATCTACCACGCATTTTTTTTCCTTCGAAGCATTTATTTTGGGGCAAGATTTTTAAAATAAGATTAATGCAAAATCGAACCAAAACAGCTCTTCTGAATCACGTCCTTAACCTCTGTGTTTGTACTACAGTTAGCATATGTTTCAAAACAACGTACGTAAAATGGAACAACATGTCGCTAGTTGCTTCTTACAATTAAACTTATATTATGTATGGGGGTCTCTTTAACTTCAAAACAAACGCAAATCATTCACTTCTTGTTACAAATGTTATACAGAAAAGTGTTCATGAAAAAGATGGTGGAATAAAGCTTAATTATTCAAGCATTATTCAATCACCTCACAGTATGTTACTACAAGCTTCCAAGTTCTGAAGCCCTCTAAAACGGCACAAAAAGTGTATGATTAAAGCGTACAATTAAGTTGATTGATACTCACATTGAATTTGTAGTGCCTCACTCTGCACTCAACCATAACGGGAAGAATGCAGAGAATGAGAAGTAGAAATCGACCCCAAGAAGAATCCATTTGTTTCGACTTTCACGGAGATAGATCAGTCTCCTTCTTCTTCTGCTTCACCTGATCTCTCACTCTCTATGTCTTATCTTGTATAAGAAGATGTGGTTTGCTTCAGTTGCATTCATGGACGACCAGCCAACGCACAGTTTTATAGGCAGACCCAACCAGACATTGCTACCACGTCGTTTTTACTCAGTTAGGTAGGTTAGTGGAGCGAGCAAGTATCCTTGGAAAATAAGAGAAAACAGACAAAGCTTCTAGTTATGTCATGTTATCTTGCATGTCACGTAAAGCTGTACTTATTTCTAACACATTTTTATTTATCCTGAATAAACTTGATTTATTATTATAGGTACATGCATTAAGCCATCTAATTATATATATATTTTGATCAACAGAAGTTGTCGTTGAACGTAAGTTGTTCCACATACACACACACATTAATCAGTCTTAGTTTATACTATATTTGTATAGGCTGGTGGGTGTGTCAAAATTTGTTAGTTCTACAAGAAAGAGTATGCTTTGCTACGTACATATATATATTTATTACTTAAATTACCTATGTTTAATAGATATGTTGCCTACTTAAGAATATATCCCGAGTGATAAGGTGATTGGTTGTGTCATGTGAAGTTTAGAAGCTCCTTTCTGCATCTACTATAACTAATTTAGCATTAACCTACAGAAAGTTATGTTAACCAATTAGATGGCGTTAAACTTGTTAATGTTTCTGGGGGAATTAATGTTGCCAACTAAGATATATTCATGGAACATATGCAATCCTACAAGTACAATCAATTAGGTGAAGTTAATAAATTTAAGTGACTTTTCTTTCGCTACAAAAAAAACATCAAATTAGTGACAAAATTTAGTGACGGAATTTCCGTCACTAATCAAAATTAGTGACGGATTAGTGATAGAATTTAGTTAGAATCCAAATTTTTTTACATCACTAATTCAACCATCATTAAATAATTAGTGACAGAATTCAAAATTCCGTCGCTAATTGACAGAAATTTTCCGTCGCAAATTAATTACAGAGATCCCATAAAAATTCTGTCACAAAATAGCGACGGATTTGTGACGGATAATTCCGTCACAAATCCGTCACTAATTTTTTTATTTTCTAAATTTAAAATACCACGTGGCAATAATTAATTGCACCACATGTCATGTTTGTGATTGCCATCTCATCACCGGCTGCCACCTCATCAACCCTCTCTCTCCCATGTTGCCACATCATCGCCACATGTCTATCACTATGAGCTTCCATGTCATCACCAGCCACCACCTCATCAACCCTCTCTCTCATGTGTTGCTACGTCATCCAGCACCTCATCAATCCTCTCTCTCCTATGTTGCCATGTCACCGCCACGTGTCTATCATTGTGAGCTTCCACATCATCACCAGCCACCACCTCATCAACCCTCTCTCCCCATATTGCCACGTCATCTTTTCATCTATGTAATGGCCATGTGTCCATCATTGTGAGCTGCAACATCATCGCCTTGTCCACATCATCGCCACGTAACAAACTGGCTCAATTTTGTGAATGAGTTTTGGTTTGATCCTGGGACCTCCTACACCCGTACTGAAACCTTTACCAATTGAGCTGAGAAGCACCTGCAAAATTTTTATACAAAAATAAATATATAATATTTCTAATAACAAATACAAATATATATAATAAATATTATATACATAATTTAATATATAGTATATAATTTAATATATTATTATCTATTTGAATTTAACTTTTATATATTAGCAAAAAAATTAATAATTTATATTTTTAGCCATATATTTAACGAAATAACAAGTTGTATACTGTATATTTTTATTTTCTTTTATGATATTTTTATGTTTTAAGTTTTATATAATATATTATTTTAAAATATGATATTTTATATTTTTATTTGAATAATAATTTTAAAAAATAATTATTATATATTTATATTATATTTTTTGTAACGGATTAGTGACTGAAAAATTCCGTGACTAATTTCCGTCACAAAATGTTTTGTGATGGGATTTAGCGATAGATTAGTGATGAAAATTAGTGATGAAAAAATCTCATCACTAATTTCCGTACAAAATGTTTTGTGATTGAAGTTAGCGACAGATTAGTAATGGAAATTAGTGAAGGAAAAATTCCATCACTAATTTCTATCACTAATTATTTAAAACAAAATTACTGATGGACTTTTGATAGAATTTAGTGACGCAATAAAATTCCGTCACTGATCTGTTGCTAATTTAGTGACAGAATATAATTCTGTCACTAATCCCTGGCTAATTTAGTGATGGAAATTTTTCGTCACTAAATTCCGTCGCTAGAATTTGTAAAGGATTCGGGACGGAAAATTCCGTCACTAATTTCCTGTTTTTTTGTAGTGTTTCTCTCTTTAAATTATTAGAACACACACACACATATATATAATAATTTCTAGTTTGATTAACTTTCTTGTCCATTATTCTCAACGGCCAACAAGAAATTACTCCTCTGGTTCTATTTATAAGGTATTTCTAATATGTTTCACCTAGACCAAAGAAAACCTTAAACTTCATTAACTTTTATTTAAAATTTAATGACTTTCTAACTTTATTCTTATTTAACATACATTATACTTTATATAAACAAAGTCAACACAATAATAAATGAGGGGTAAAATTGTATATCGATGCAAAAGATTTCTTTCAATACTCTATAAATAGAATTAAAAAATACATTCTCTCTCTGTCCTATAAATAGGACCAGAGGAGTAATATGTAAAAAAGGGCAAAAATAAAGAATGTATATATTACATGCTTTAAATTAATGTAGTTTTGTTTTGGCCAAAAAAATTAATGTAGTTTTGCTACTTATTTGGCATACAAATTCAATATAACTCGAATATTTTCAATCCAATCTTGGTGAACAAAAGAATTTTTACTAACTATACATTTTGATTTGTTAATTAGGGTTCATTGCACCAAATCATTCACTATCTGTATTAAAATTTCTCCCATAGAATTATATACCAAAATTCACTCACTATATGCAATATCACAACTTCGATGATTATATGACAAGTTCAGAGGGCAATTTGAGGTTCATGTGCCAAACTAAAGAAATTAGACATACATTTTCAACCTAATATGGAGGATTAAGAAATATTAACATATTTGATATTAATTGTTACAAAAAAAAAACATATATGATACTAATATAAGGGGTTCATATATACTCCCTTCCCTTCTTAATAAAAGATATCATTTGACTTTTATTTTGGTAATAACTATAAAATTCTAATTCATTTTGTCTCTCATATTTATTTTTTTCCTTCAAGATATTCTTTCTAATAATGGTAGTTCTAACTAATAAACTTGATTATCAAGGATATTTTAAGAAATACAATACCTATTTATTATAAATAACTAACTTAACTTATTTTCTTAATCTACTCAAATTAGTCAAATAGCCCTTATATTTAGGATCAGAGATAGTACATGAACTAAGCATATATATTCTCAAGTTTGCTGACAAATTAATTATATGCACTTCGATTGGCCCTAAGAAGCATGGTCACAACATATTCATAAGTACAGTAAAATTTAAAATGTTGATAAGTAAGTTAATTATGTCGGTTGAGAGTCTATAATTATATATCTTATACCATAGATCGTGAAAGAAACAAGTTAAAATGTAGTTTTCGAATATTTACTGTCATCCTTGTTTGCATCAAACAATATCAAAGATGAGACTATTTGTTGGAAAACGAAAAAAACGAGTGAATATTGGTTAAGTAAGTAAGAAAGGAATATTATTATGAAAAGATGGTTGAGAGATGGCTTTCAGGTCATTAATAAAAATATAGTGGGAATGCAGATGATGATTAGTTTGAAAGCCAAGACTTTCCGACGTTGGGTAACTAACAACCATGTCACATTCCTGTCTGTTCGGTTCTATCTAGATTTCTCCAATTTTGTAAAGATAGCAACAACAACAAAAAATTAAGAATAATCGCAAGAATTATAACAATATAGTACTTCCGGTCCTAATTATAAGACTCAGTTAACTAATTTGAAAAGATTAAAGAATTTAGTTAAGTTAGTTATTTGTAATGAATAAATGTTACTTTTTCTAAAATATCCTTACTAATCAAATTTGTTATCTAGAACTATCATTATTAGAAAAATTATCTTGGAAAAAAATGAATAAATATGAGAGACAAAATATATTGGAGTCTTATATTTAGGATCAAAATAAAAATTAAATAAGATCTTATATTAAGGATCGAGATAGTATAACATAATAATTAACACATTTGTGAAGATTAAAGAACTTAGCTAAGTTAGATACTACCTCTGGTCCTTAATATAAGACCCTATTTGACTTTTATTTTGGTCCTAAATATAAGACCCCAATCTATTTTGTCTCTCATATGTATATATTTTTTTCCAAAGTAACCCTTCTAATAATGATAGTTTTAGTCAATACGCTTGATCAGTAAGGATATTTTAGGAAAAATAACACATATTTAGGACAAATAACTAACTTAACTTATTTTCTTAATCTCCTCAAAATTAGTCAGCTGGCTCTTATAATTAGAACCGGAGGTAATATTTGTAATGAATAGATGTTATTTTTCCTAAAATATCCTTACTAATCAAGTTTGTTATTTAGAACTATCATTATTAGAAAGATTATTTTGGAAAAAAATAAATAAATATGAGAGACGAAGCAAATTAGAATCTTATATTTATAATCAAAATAAAAATTAAATAAGATCTTATATTAAAGATCCAGATAGTATAACAGAATAATTAACTCATTTGTGAAAGGAATATAATGAAAATTAGGTTTACAGTCAAATTGGGCAGAGAAGTGTCCGCATCGGGCAGCTCGTTGCTTGATGGTACGGAAGGTGGTACTTTTTAATCATCTCATGCCAAAGTGACATGTATCTTATTCACACCCGGATTTTCAATTAAAATTAAAAAAAATTAAATTTGTAAGGAAAAATTGGTCAGAAGTTTTTTGGTTGAAAAATTAATTGTGTTTTTGTGTATAGGTATTTGAAATCTGCTTAAGAATTTGGGTAATACCTATTCTTTAATATTTTGTTTTTCATGCTCG